TTGAATATAATTGAAAATAAGTTATGATGGTTTAAACAGAGTTTGTCCAATTAACATTAGGGAAAGCTTTGAAATATGTATGTGTGGATGTATAAAGCTTTTCCTATTCTTTATAGTTTTAAAATGTGCTTTCAACTTTGAAAGTAATGCTTTATCTGTTCTGGTTTACCAATAGAAAGCAACATTGGTCTCTGATCGTGCTCGAGCAAAGCACATTAAGAAAGTCAATACAGAGGTGAGCAAACACAGTTCAATGCTATGAAAACAATACTTAATGCAAACTTGAACTTAAGCAATCGTGTTATCAGCAAATATTGCATTCGCTTTATCTCTATTACTCCAGTCTTATCTAAGGACATACCAGAGGAACATTATGTATTCATATTTACTCTTTTCCAGGTCAAAGGGAATTGGCCTTCAGCTTATTAAATCGCCACTAAAAAACTTACTCTAAAATGAGTACAAGAAAAATTCTTAAATCCCTCCTGCAGCATGATTCATTTCTTATGTTCATACTATTGTTTATATGTTCTGAAAACCCTTGCATTGGCAATTAATAGCTTCATTTGCTACTTATGTGTAGAAATTACTTTGGAACATACTGTATAGATCAGTGATTGGTTAGTGCGTAGTGGCTTGTTTTGTGGCTTTTTTTAAATATATATTCAACGTTACTATTGGTTGCCATTAGAGATGGGCGAGTCCTGATTCATCCGGATCATTAACCCGGATCCTAGAAATGAGCTGGTCGTGACGAGTCTCCCCTCTCCATTAACCCGAGTCCTTGAGTCCCACACTTGATGTGACGTACAAATTAAAACTATAAATTGTGTCACTCGCTACTCTCTTTATAACATGTAAAATCACATTACAACGTACCCCAGTCCATCTGCCTACCCTTTAGCAAGTAGGATAGCTGCCAGAAGTGATCGTTTGGCTCAGGGGAGGGGACGCGAATCAGTGAAACTTCCTGCAGACTCGTGGGGACTCAGAGGAGCCGACGGCTCCTAACCGTAATAGCATAGCAGATCCAGAGATCCATACTCGTCATGTGCACGAGCATAGCCCCTCCTCCAGCACCCGGCTCCCGCGCTATATTATGCACGAGTCAACAGCAGACTCGCAGATTCGCAGATTCGCAAATCCTGACTCGCTGTGCAAAACACAGCAGACTCGTGCGGACTCAGAGCCGTAGCCAGCAGCAGATCCAGAGATCCAGCAGACTCGTCGTCATGCACGAGTCAACAGCAGACTCAGATTCGCAAATCCTGACTCACTGTGCAAAACACAGCAGAGCAGACTCGTGCGGACTCAGAGCCGTAGCCAGCAGCAGATCCAGAGATCCAGCAGACTCGTCCTCATGCACGAGTCAACAGCAGACTCAGATTTGCCAAATCGCAAAATAACCCTTTTTTTTGTGATCAACATTTTTTATTAAAGCAAAATACACTGTGTAGCGGAGGTTAATATAACGTCAGTTTAATAGATAGATAGATAGATAGTACTTTATTGATCCCAAATTGGGAAATTGTTGTTGTTACAGCAGCATAAAAGGCATTTTACAATAAAACAAAACTATAAAATATACAAGAATAGAAATAAAAATAAAATATAAAATATAAAATATACATGTCGAAATAGAAAATATACATGCAGATATTATATATATATATATATATATATATATATACAAAATATATGGAATAATAATATGCTCGTGAAATGCAACAACTTTTCGGTTTCACCGATAGGATTTCTACGGTCTTGGTGATGCTGACTCATATGACTCAAATGACTCGTATGATCCGGATCTCTTCAATGACTGACTCAGAAGACCCTGAGTCCGTAAAAGGATCCGGATTTGCCATCTCTAGTTGCCATTGGAATTCAAAGTCTGTTCCTAAACCAGGAAATAAACCATGCATTGAAGCAACCTTTTTTTGTCTAAACGGTTGAACTATCGCTTGTCAGTCACGTGACGCCACTGGGCCCAACAAGACCTTTTTTTCCCATTGACTTACATTGGGAAAGAGACGTCTGTTAATCACTCTATCAATAGTTAGACAAGGTTACTCCACAGTATGAATACTTGAACAGCCCTTATTTAAATAAATAGGTCCTAAAGGGTTTTAAATGCTTCTCCATGTATTTGACTGAGCTGAGACAAGGCGAGGTGGAGCTACTGGGAGGCAGGTTTAAGTAAATGCAGGTGCTTAATGCAGAAGATTATTGTTCTCAAGAGTCAGGCCAGCTTTTACTGAGCAACTTTCATAAAAATGAGCAGGGCCCCGCCTTAAGCGCTTTATACAGTTTATCTTAATTCATCCATTTCAAGGATGAATCCAAGCTGTCTAAAATACTTTTTTAGAGCCCTACAGTATGTGCTTCCAAATTGTGAGCATTTTAGAGTCAAGTAGATGTTCAGTGGAGTATCCCTTTAAAGGTCAGCTATTATGCAAAATCCACTTTTTCATGTCTTTTATACATAAACACGTGTGACGTGTGTCACTTTATGATGTCATAACGATGTTTTGGCTTGTGTAACCATTAGCCAATCACCAACAGTGATGGGCAAGTTACTTCCAAAATGTAATACATGCACACGCACGCACACACACACTCAAACACACTCAAACACACACACAGCAGCAGCCCTCTACTTGCTACAAACTTAAATATGAAAAGGTTAAACTACGCACACACACATCATCTCGGCTGGCGCAGCCCCGAAGGGTAAATACCAGGTTTATTACTGTAACTCCGTTACTTTTGTAACGCGTTACACCCAACACTGATCACCAACCAAGGTACCCCCCCCCCCCACCTTATCACCTGAATCTCCTCCTAGAGCAGCATTGTGTTATTTTTAACCAAATATCTCTCAGAGGGGCGTGGGGAGGGGCTCCTTATTTTCATCTAAAGTAACAGACAGAGAATCAGCACTTTTGAAACAGGGCTGAAACAGAGGGGATTATGGGATGCTGCAATGATCTGTTTGGTATTTGGAGCCAAACACTTCAGAGACATGTTTTGTATATATCTGAGACCTATAATAAAGTAATGAAAAACAGTATAATAGGGGACCTTTAAATCGGTTGAACCTAACCTGCAGTAACCCATATGATCTTACCTCAGCTTCAAGGTTTATACTGCAAACTACACATACATGTATTGTCTATGTTCCCAGTGTTACACATTATTATAAAACGGACAAGTCAAATCAAGCAATCTGATTGGTTCTTAGCCGTGGTATGCAGATACCTCCGCTTCGCGCCGGGCTCCTAATCAGCCTGTCGGTGTTCTTTTCCCCATAATGACCGCGTCGCTGCACATTATCCCTTACATAACAACTATTTCAATTAGAGTGTGTATTTTTCATTCATATTGCCACACTTGGTAACCGTTTTATAAAAGCAATAGCTCACTTCAGGGTTAGGGTTAGGGTTAGAACCACGCCCCTTAACTGTGATATAATGGCCATATACCACGGCCTGTCGTGAGCTATTGCTTAAATATACTCATGTGGCACACAACATTTCAAATAATAAAAAATGTCTTGTGAAACTGTGCTTGCTGAAGGCATAGGGTTCCGAGTGTGGATTGCCTCATATTTCGTCAATATCCTCTGGCTGGTTTGTTACCTTGAAATTGCTCCATCGGTTTCCTTTCCGTGAAAATGAAACAGACAGCTTCTTCAAAACGCCCTCTGTCAGGTATCCTTCCCGCCCTTTTTATATCTGAGATGGGTTACTTTACCGCGCCAACCCCAAACATTACCAGTAGTACCTTTCCATACCTGAGCAGCAGGTTATTTCATGAAAAGGTGCACTGGACAGCAGCCAGAAAAAAAGACCAGAGACAGCAAGTTAACCATGTGAGTGGATGGTTGGTTTAGATTTACACCTCTGCAATTAAAGCTGGTTTTCCACCTCCTCACACTGATGTAATCTTCAGTTCCCTGAACAGAAACTGCAAGGGATCTATAACAGAGTCAGATGAGTTATAGTCCTTTAATAAAATATTTACTTTTGACTCATGTTAATCCACAAAGGACAGTCACACCTTATGACAAATTTAGGGAATGGCAGGTTTTAAGAGTTTCTAAGCAACTTCATGTCACTTCTTGACTTTTGAATGCAAAACAAAAGCATGAAAAGCCCAACACAAAGAAGTTTGAGCTGTTTGTTACATTGAGTTACTTGACCTATTTTTCTAAAACCTGTTTTACTATTGCTATGGCAACCTCTGTTTGTCAGCACTATGGTTTTCAATTCAGATGGAAACAAATCTAAGGACCAACCCAACTAGTTGCCAAGAGTTGACAGACTCTGTGCCATGCAAATGCAATAATCAGTATAAAACTGTTTATTTAATGACATGGCTCTCAGAAACCGGTTTTATCGGCTTATCCTTGTATCCTCTAATCTTCACAGGTTTGGTCACTCTGCTCTGTTTGCTCAACTCTTTAAACACTGATGTCCAAAACAAGACATCACAGATTCCTATCCGACACAGAGAAGCAATGAGGGGGGGGGGGGGCAGACAGGGCGGCAAGTAATAATAAAATGGTGCTGACCCGAATTAAGAATGGTATAGAGGAAATGTGCAAAAAGGTAACAGATAAATAAAAGACATGGGTGATGGCATAAAACAGAGTATACTCTCTCGAATACTATACTTGAGTACACATTTGTGGTACATTATTATATACATTATTTCCATTTTCCACAACTTTTTACTTCTACTTCATTATATTTCTTTCATATTTAGTTTCCTTTTACATAAAAAAAAACCATTATCTTACACTATATGTTCCAGTACTATACAACCAAGTACCTATATTGCCCTAACTACAACATTTAAAACTGTTATATTAATTTATTAGTGGCAAAAAAGTACATCATATCCATAAAAATATAACACTTTTGAAGAGAAGATACCCCCCCCCCCCGCCATCAAAAAAGATATATCCTCCTGCAATGATCAAATAGGAAACTCACAAACTCAGGGATGAAGAACAGGTCGGGGATGGATGTAAAGACCCTGCCGCCTGTAGGCAGAACATCGCCCATGGTGGTGGAAGCCATAGTCCCAAACACTGTGTGTGTGATTTCCTGTAGAATGATATGTGAAACCTGATCATTTCTGCCTTTTTAAAGCCATCATCCCCCCCCACCCCCACCCCCATGTTTCCTGCCACACTTTCCTCTACGTCTCCTCCCCACTCCACGTTCCTCAGATCGAAACTTACAGTTTGACAGGTGCCTTCTTTTTTTGGCTCTATTTGTGCAAGAGGGAAGATGTCTGTGGTGTGTGTGTGTGTGTGTGTGTGTGTGTGTGTGTGTGTGTGTGTGTGCGTGCGTGCGTGCGTGCGTGCGTGCGTGCGTGCGTGCGTGCGTGCGTGTGTGTGTGTGTGGGTGGGTGGGTGGGTGTGTGTATGATTCTAATTTCCTGCCATAACTCCACAAACAAACTACATGTTTTCCAAATGCCTTATCATTCACTAACAAACACAATGTGGTTTGCAAATACAAAACACCATTTCCAAACTAATGCATTTAGTTTTGCAAATAAAAAACGTATCTATCAAACACATTACATTTTTCTAATAAATCATGTTTCATAAACCAATACAGCATATGTTTTACAAGTACAACATATTCTTTTACAATTACAACACTTTTTTTTACAAGTAGGGAGACCAGGGACAGTTGTAACACGGGGCAGTTGTAACACGGGGCAGTTGTAACACGGGGCAGTTGTAAGGCCTTCAATATCTCCAATCACAAACAAGCTAGAGTGATGAAACTCACTCTGCACATGCGCAGTTAGATGGAAAGATCGCTGTGAAAAAAAGGAGCTATCAGCAAAAGTGTGTTTCTGAATTTACAAAAATGATATGATGTATTTTTTGGATACTGTCTTGAGGTCAAAGGTCTAGGAATCCAAACTAGTATTATTAGAATCACTGTTTTGTAAGCTAAAAATATAACTAGCTAAATATGGGTCAAGCTAGCAATCAGGCAGGTTCACAGGGGGTGAAAACATGACTGGTGGTCCTGGGACGGTTGTAACACGGACCACCTAGGACGGTTGTAACATGGCACATTTACAATGATGGCTCATTTGCTCGAATGATCAATATTGTTGATTGGTGTGCATTGTCACTGTAAAAATAAACAGAATAAAATACTGTACGTAAAGTGTGTGCGTGTGTTTACAGTATGCCAAATATCAGAAAGAGGAAGACAGACAGGGGAGTGCCACTTCCTCTGCTGCAGAGGGCCTCAAATGAAGTTCAGGAGGGCAAATCAGTCAGGGCAGTGGCAAAGTCCCATGATATATGCCATGTCACCATAAAAAGAGGCTGAGGTTGGAGAATCAGGGATCAAAATCACCCCAAAGAGTAGGCTACTGGACACCCAAGAAGGTGTTCTCAACAGAGCAAGAGATGCTTTTGAGAGACTACCTGATGGAGGCAGCTGATTTATTATGGGATTAGTTTTGTATCATAAAGATAAAGCAACACTTTCTCAGAATAAAGCAAAACTATGAGTTTAAAAGAAATAGTCAAGAGTCAAGCAAAATAAAATACATTTAAAAAATAAAACTATAAGTTGCAAACAAATCATTTGTGTAATCATGTAAACTTTAAGTATTTTTTCTTTGTTTTAACATAGGTTTTTGTTTGCAGTTCTTGTTTCTTCTTTCTCAATGATCAGACTTTTGCTCTCGCTCCTTCACTTTTTGTTTGAGATTCTGACACAAACCTCCCAGGTGGGCGGGACTTTCAGGGGTGCGTCCCCATTGGCTACTCAGTTTTTGAGTTACAGCCCAGTCCTCCAGCGATTGTACAGTGCAGGTGTAGCAGGCCCCGCTATGCAGGGCGCGATGACAGATTATATTCCTGTAGAACAGGAGAAATTATGAGCAGAAAATGCCTTTTGCTGCTCGTTTGGCGGGTCTTGCCAGAGTTTATTCACAATTGGCACAACACAAAACACAATTGTTCTTGCCCTTTTCCTACTCTCAATATAAACACATGTTTATATGTTCATGTCTTCAAAATATACTTTTAACATGCTTGAAGTATTCAAAATAAACACATTTGTCTATAACCAAGTGTCATTAACTTCATGACTAAAAATAAGAATGTACTGTTAAGTACCTTTTCAGGATAACCCAGGCAGCTGCGGTGCGGTAGCTGAGCGTGGACAGAAGACCCCCAGAAGAACCAGCATTTCAATTATTATAATACTACAACAAGTGAACATATATGTAAGTATTGATCATTTGTGTTGTTTGTGCTGTACTATACGGTCTGTTTCTTTATTGTGTTAGTTAAGTGAGAAGTGTTATGTCCTTTTATTTAAAACATTCTTTGAGACTTCATCTTCTGGTTCAAATTTCAATAAATGTAATTTGTATAATCACTCTTTTGTCTTTATTCTACATGAACATTTTAGAGATTCCATTCAAATCTGTTGATTATTCATATCTTCCTCAGGCTAGGAATAGTAGCCTATGTCGAATTTTTAATGCTAAATGTATATCATTTTCTCACAGGATATAGAATGAGACAACACAGTTTTTATCCATTGTGTATGAATGCTTCAGCTCTTCAGACCAACATATTAAGATGTGAGCATGTTCCTAATTGTGTTGGTATGCAAACTAGGTCTGGTCTGTTTAATAAAGCAAATCTGCCACTTTTATATTATAGAATTTGTTCAATTAAAGCAGTCTTTAATTGTTTGTCCTAAACATAGCAATATATGCTTTTGAAATGTAACATGTCTTTGAAAAAATAATAGTATACAGTTTATATTGTGTATCACCTTTAGCTTGAAATTACATAGATGTGTTTTTTTAATCTATAAAATAAATAAATAGACAGACAGACTGACACTTTATCAATCCCAAATTGGGAAACTATTTAACAGCAGCAGTGTGTTCAGGTATTAAAATATTTAAAGTTGGAATAAAGTATAAACTACACAACACAAGTATAATGCACAGCAATCCATAAGATAAGTCCGATATGTTCATGAAAACTCCCCAGGAGGCACCAACACTAACGTGGCCGAGTGGACTCCGGAGTTTGCTGCATGAGTTGCACTGTATGATCTGTGGTGTAGTGGGCTGTCACTCAAAAACTGAGTAGCCAATGGGGACGCACCCCTGAAAGTCCCGCCCACCTGGGAGGTTTGTGTCAGAATCTCAAACAAAAAGTGAAGGAGCCAAAAGAGAGTGCTGCAGCGAAAGCAAAAGTCTGATCATTGAGAAAGAAGAAACAAGAACTGCAAACAAAAACCTATGTTAAAAAAAAGATAAAAGACTTATAGTTTACATGATTACACAAATGATTTGTTTGCAACTTATAGTTTTATTTTTGAAATGTATTTTATTTTGCTTGACTCAGTTTTTTTTTCTTTTAAACTCATAGTTTTGCTTTATCTTTATGATACAAAACTAATCCCATAATAATGGAGAAGTTAAAAGGAAGAACAGGGAAGCCAGGATTAATGTCCAATCAATTTATTTTCAAAGATTTCACATAGAAAGACACCTGTAAAGTGAAATAATTTTCATTCAAATTCAAATGATAAATCATGTGGAAACATCCAAACATACTGTATATCTAAACAGAAAGAAAAGAAAAAACTTGTATCAAAATGTTATTTTAAAAAAAGGGGGTACGGAGGAGAGTTTATCCATTATACATTAAGCTTTTGCTCATTGTAAACATGGAGAAAACAAGATGGAGAACAAGTTCTAAATATTCAAGGTTTCAGGTTTTTATCAGTACAAGCATTTTAAACGTGCTAAGATCTGCTATTAAATGTGGATGAAATGTTTTAATGACAGTTTGGTTTGTAGAAATGTTTACTGCCTGACGATTGTGAAAAGTCAAATACTTTGTCTTACACCATAAGTTCGGGGGGGGTCATTGGTCCTTTTACCTGTACAGCAAAACCACATAAAGCCAACGACACTTTATTCAAATTTTGCAGAGCGATGAAAAGAAATGTGTTCTGAACTTGAAAAATATCATAATGTATATCCTGCTCCTGGAAATGTTATTACATCTTTGGTTGAATTAGTTATTGACACACATTTACCTTATACTACTGTTTTTTTTGTAATATATTATATATATCTTTTTGTTTTGCAAACATATTTTAACTTTTCAGTCTTCTTTACCTTCTGATGAAACTGCTGCCATACTGATTATAGAATTGTGGGGTAATTATATATTTTTTAATAATAATTTTTGGGCAGAATTTTTGATAACGAGACCAATAAACAAATAACATTTAGCAATATTCTGGTTGTTTACCTTTCAGTCCTTCATTTGATATTTGGCATTTAGTTGTTTTCTTTTAAAGTAACTCATGTTGACCTTGAAATTAAGAGACACAACAACAACAAAAAAGTAATTCTGTTGTTCCTCCAATGACAGGTCAGCTGGTTATTTGGTTTCTTTAGGACCTCTTCCATCGAATGGCAGAGAAAATGGTATGCATGAAGTAGAAAAGAGTGGCCAAATAGGACATCACCTGGAAACACACACACACACACACACACACACACACACACAACCACACACACACACACACACACACACACACACACACACACACACACCACACACACCACACACACACACACCACACACACACACACACACACAAAGAGAAACAAAGTCAAATCATTGTCAAATTGTAGTAGAATTAAGTTATGTCAACACACTGTTTTAAAGGTAACCATTAGCCAATAACCAACCAAGGTAACCCCCCCCCACCTTATCACCTGAATCTCCTCCTAGAGCACCATTGTGTTAGGGGACCTTTAAACAATATCTACTAAGATGCATTTTGATTTGAAGTGGACCTGTATTGCTTTTTTTCAGGCTCATATTGTATGTTTTTATTCTAGTGGAGATGTAAAATGAATTTTGGAGCTATATGGATAAAAAGGTTAGATATAAAGATGCATGTAGATTATTTCCCAATTGATTGAAAGATAAAACAATTAAAAAAAGAGCTTCACAGAAAAGCTGAAACATACAGAACACATTGTATATGATACTGAAAATCCCACCTTAAAGCTGGAGTGACACTGGAATAAAGCATTTACATAACTAACGTATGGAGTTA